TACATTTTTCGTTTTCATTATTATTATTATTATTATTATCATTTTTAGCTCGACTCGAGCGCTCGCGAGCGGCTAACTCGTTTGCAGTCTTAGCCCCGACCATGATTTACACTATTGGTGGAAATTAATTTTTTCTTGTTTTCGGATTTCAATATTAGGTTTTGTTAATATCTTTTATCAATAATTCAATAATAAGTTTAAATTTAATTGTTTTCTTTTTTCATTTCTTTCACGTGGTGCCATATAAGCGTTTTTTCTTTTGATTGAGTCGTTTTGCATTCGTATTCTTGTATAGTGTCAACCATTGTTATTTCCATTTGCAGAAGCCGAGTAGAATTTGGGCAAATTCGGTCTATGCCCACTATTTAAATTTTAAACTATTATGCCAATATTTTTTTTTTTAATTTTTTTATTTTTTTGAATCGGGCGACTTGAACATCATCATATATATACCGAAAGTCAATCGAGATTTAATCATGTTTAATTACATTACTATATAATATTAGCCACGGATTAAGTTATTAACATTGATTTGTAGGTTTTGGAAAACTACAAAGTGTATCATATGATATCATACAATTTTTATTTTTTTTTGGTACAATCATACAAAATATTTTATTGAACTTCCACCATGAGAATAACCCATCAAATACTTTAATACTAGTTGATCATCACATAGAAAGTAGGTCAGAGGGTGGTTGCTCTCAATTTCCACCCACCTTCTAACTTGGCCTCAATGTCTAATACGTGCCCCTTTTTCTTCTATCAACTACGTTGACTTAGACCGGTCATTGATTTTGCATAATTTACAAGTCAACAATTCAACTAATTGAACCACAAAAAATGTTTTTGGGCTGGCTGAAGAAACTGTGGATTATATATTATTTTTCTGTTTCTAAAACTGAGCTAGTATGGAAGCTTGCCCCTGTCAATTGGGATGACCTTCAACAATTAGACTCTTTCAAAGATTGGTGGTGGAATATATCAGAATTAAAGCACAAGGATACTTTTGAAGCCTGTATCAAATTATCTACATACATCTTATGGTGACTTTGGAAGCCTAGAAACTTTTGGGTTTTTGAATGTTCAGACTGGCCGGCTCATCTGCTGCAGTTAGGGACTGAAAGGAATGTACAGAGGTCAGCCGGCTTTCATCATTGGGAGGAAGAGGACAGTAGCAAGGATGGTCTAGGATCCCGAGGATCAGTTGAAAGTCCAGTTATTGAAGTGTCCTTTCATTATTATTTGTTCTATTCTTGTTGATGATTGTTTGTGAGGGACTTAAGTCTAGGTGGTGACATGTTTAGCTACTTGAGTCCCCTAGTTGTTGGTTTGTAATTTTCTAGGCCACCTGCGAGTGGTTCTCTCTTTATTCGGTTGTTGTATTCAGACGTCCATTTTATTTATTTAATGAGAAATCTATCGTTCCGATAAAAAATAAAAAAAAAAAATAAAAAAATAAACCATAAAAAATGTTAATCGTTCGAGCATACGATGCTTGAACCCTCTCCCACAAGCCTCGTTGCATTGGTTTTTTGTTTATCTGAAATAAATTTCTAATAATGCAAACTTCACTTGTTTTTTAAATTTAGAGTTGCTGAAATTACATTAGATTAAATCTATCTAACTTGATCACATCACAATTTGTTAAATTTGCAAATACCGTGTTGAGACAGCCTAAAATATAAAGCCAACTAAGCTACAGAATCATACCTTTTTTCGCATTTCATTATGGAAGTTTATAATTTATTATACTTTGAAGTTTATAATTTATTAAAAAAAAAAAACCTATGTTCGGCCAATAGTTAGACACATCTTAACAGCAGCTCTTATTGTCGAATAAATTCCCAAACTATCGTGTCCAATCAGTAGACATGTAATCCAAAGAGTAGGCATAAGAAAATGTGATGAAGACATTCAAAGCAAGCAAATTATAAGCTTTATATATTTAATCAAAACCACATCATATGAGAGTTCAAACACTTACTAATTACATCATTACTCACCATCACACCACAACTCGCAAAGATCTATTCCAACTAAACAGACGCACCCTTTTACCAAATACCCAAACCGAAAACACAAAACAAGCACTCCTAAAAAGCACACAATGTGTACAAAAGAGCATTTTTTAATTCACCCAAACACCAAATCTCCAACTTTGTTACTGTTGTTAGCTTTTCCACCATCAGAAACACCAGCTCCTACTCTAAGGTTAGAAAGCAACGCATCACGACCTGTTAGAACAATCTGGAAAAACCCATCTACTTCCTTACCAAGCGAATCCAGTCCAACCGAAAGATTCTCGGCCGATTTCCTCAAATTAGACGTCAATTCAGACAATTTCTCAATCTCGACTGGCACTGCACTTTCCCCAACGATAGGATACAATTTATTCACACGATGATCGACAGATTCAAGTTCCTTGAGCACCGTGACCCTCCCGCTCGAATACAAGCTTCGAATCTCGGTATTTACGAAAGCCTGGAGCTCGGCAAAAGCCTCCGCCCAAAAAAACGACTCGGTTATCTTCAAGTCCATCAGCTTCTTTGATGAGCCCGAGAAGGCAGCAGCAAATATGCTGCAAATCAGAAGGGTGACTGCCTTAACGCCGTACATTGCCCGCATCAAGATTTTCCCCTTCGCCGAGTTTTTGATCTTCGGCAAGTCCAACTTCTGGGCGAGTCCATCCATCATGGCAAAGCACTTGTCGAGCCTCGCGTTTTTCGAGCCGACGTGCTTTTTCCACCCGTCTAGAGACGAGCGGGCTCTTAAGAACTTCTGTGGGGAGGCAACATCATCACTACTCAGGTTATGGGACACGCATTGGAGGTAGAGATGGCCTTGCTTGAGACGAGAGATCTCAGAGGTGAAAGCAATGCATATGTCGAGCAGTTTTACGCTGTTGTCCAAATAGACGTCGACCCATTTGTCTTCCCAGTCACAAATGGGAAGCTCGAGGGCCGTGATAAGGGTTTTCACATCTGTGTGTATCTCGCAAAGGGACTCGACAGCACACCTCATCCATGATAAACGGAGGACATCCTCCTTGCTTGCGGGCATAAGCTTCTTGATCCGGCCCGCGAGAGTTTCCTCGAAAGTGTTCAGTAAAGAGAGGAGCTTGGGAGAGAGATGAGAACCCTTTGGGGATAGCATACGGAAAGGGTTCCCGAAAGAGAGAAAAGGCCTGTGTGGTTCTTGAGCACGACTCATTCTTTTAATGCACTACCTGCATGGAAAATTTAACCGCTCCATAAAATTCAGATCACGGTGTTACACACCGGGAGAAAAGAGGTAAATCTTCAGAAGGATATAAGTAAAGTACAAAAAAAAAACTATGCTATCTGCAGAAGCATCATAAAAGCCTACTGAAGTAAATAGAAGGTTCCAGTGTATCTGACAAATCAGAAAAGAAATAATCAAGTCGAAAGGTCTCACCAAATGCGTGACCAATATTCATGAACAATAAAGAGTAAACACCTGATTTAACTTATGTTTTGACATTTACTCCAAGTGTTCTTAATCCAAATAGCTACATACATATATTACAAATTAAATGATCCTCCGATGCATAGCTGGTATGTAAGACCTGTATTTGTCAAATCACATCTAAATCAAGACAAACTTCCAGTCCCCTCACAACAGGGTTTCGGATGAAGAAACCATTTCTAACAGACACATGCTAACGCACACAAAATCAAACAACGGAACCCGGAACCAACAGACTCAAATACACCAGTACCAGTAGCTCAAAATTCAACCTTCATAACATCATTATATAACACAATTTTCAACAGATCTAGCCTTTTACCAACCTCAAAGCATCAAATTTTCAGTACAGTTGAAAACCCATGACCGATTAAAGCAAAAGAACTTAATCAACACTCGGATCTCCATTGATTCATCGGTCAACGCCCCAATTTTCCGTCAAATAATCAAAATCAAACCCAGTAACTACGAATCCAGACAATGAATCTCTTCTCCAATTCCATAACAACCAAATACAGACATTAAAAACCAGCACACCACAGAATCATGTCAAACGAACCACACCAAACAATTTACAACATACATATAACATCAAAATCCTTGAAAATACCAAGCTAGGGTTACAGATCCGTACCTAGCAAACCGGTCAACGGCTCAACTCGAAGCGATCGTGCGATTCAAACCCGCAAGAAGCAATTTAGTTACTCAGATGTAGCTATGGAATAACAAAACGGCGATCAGGCATCATCAACTCACACAAAAACATACATATATATTTAGAGAGAGAAAATGGAGTTACCTGAAAGAGTAGACGCGTAGAAGAGTGGTGAAGCTGCGCAGAAAGTCTAGGCGAAAAAGTAGGGATTTGCAGAGATAAGAATCGTGTGGAAAATGAGGGCGTTGAATATTCATATAAGGGACACGTGGTCGCATGTTATTGGATGACGAATATGGGCTTTGTTTGTATTCTTCTTTGGTATGGGCGGCGCGTGGTAGAGAGTCGGCAAAATCTGGCCCATTGGTGACCTTAGGTGTTATTCGGCCCAATGTTAAGTGGATGTGGGTATATTTTTTTGTTGGGTTTACTAGCTCAATTGTTCAAGAGTCTTATTAATTATAGAACAGATTAAATAAAATTGAAACTAAATATTATCAATTGTGAAAAATAAATAATAAAAATATGACGAATGGTGCTGTGGCATAGCATAATAATGAGTTCACTTATCATATATATTTTTTCAATAGAAATGTATTTCTTTCTTATTATGCGAATTGCATGATTAATTATTATTCTTTTCAGACAGGAAATACTAATTAAAGTTGTAAAATTCATATTTTCACACATAGATTTGTTGAACCTGTCTCAAATGAATATATTTTAAAATTATGTTAACACATTATTGTATGTGAATATTGAAGAATTGTTGATGACTATTGGATAGTTACTGGTGACTCTAAAAAATGTGTCATGATGCTTGACATTTTTATGTGTAAATGAGTGTAATTGAATAGTATTAGTGTGCTTGAATAATGGAAACTAACTGTTGTTTAATCAATCAAGCAAATATCCTTTTTTTTTTTTTTTTTTTTT